TAAGGGTCTGACTTTTGATTTTGGCTCAGGTCACGATCTCATGGTCACGAGCCTCACTTTCGGCTCCACGCTCAGCTGGGAATCTGCTTGAGGTTCTCTCTCTCTCTCTCCTTCTGCACCTCCACCTGTTGTAAATAATAAACAAAATAATATATTACATACCCCAAACTGCAAAACATAAGGGTAGCACCAGTTTACATTATTGCCCATTGTCTACCGTAAACAAGCCTTAAAGAGAACATTTTTGATCTGTAAAGTCCTACGTGTTTCAAACACTGGTTTCCTCTCTAATTCTTTCTCGGTAATTAAGAATCAGCCTGTGGTTTAAAATCTGAATAGTTAATAATAGTGACTATATGTGTAAGCTGTCCTTCAAAGAAGGTATTACAGGTACAAGTTATTGTCACAGTGTCTGGTGGTTAATGTAATGTGCGAAGTATATCCATTAGGCCCTCCGTACCGAGAAACTTTAAGTTGCATTGCAGGGACTTTATTCTACTAAAATTCAAATTCTGAAGCATAGCGTGTCTATAGCTTGATCTTTGAAGGCTCAAAACTTTATCAGAATCAGACTGACAACAGAGAAGATAATCTCTCTTGAGTAAAACATGTTTTATTTGATTACTACATTTCTTGGACAAAACCCATAAGATTAATGAATATTTCTGCCCTGATGCTTCTTGTCTCCCTCAAGCATCCTGAGATAGCTGGCATCTATCTATGACTAGATGACCCAAGTAGACTTTCTTTTCTTCTTCTTCTTTTTTTTTTAAGAGTTATTTATTTATTTGACAGAGAGAGAGAGAGAGGGGGAGATCACAAGTAGGCAGAGAGGCAGGCAGAGATAGAGGGGGAAGCAGTCTCCCCACTGAGCAGAGAGCCTGATGTGGGGCTCGATCCCAGGATTCCAAGATCATGACCTGAGCCACCCAGGCGCCCTCCACCCCTGCGCCCAAGTAGACTTTCAAAAACATTAGTCCACCAATGATCTAAGCTGGGGTACAGACTTCTGGTTGCTGCACAGGTAGGGCAGGATACTCTCGCTTGGATTTGGAGTTCATCACCAGGTACAGAGGGAAGGCATGGCCAGGAAAGTCTGGGCTTATTTTACTCAGCTGTTCTTGGGGGAAGACAGGCAGACGGTGAACCTGGGGATGCGATGGAAAGAATATGACCTTTGACGTTCTAAGTCTCAGATCTGTTACTCACTAGATCTGTTCCCTGAGAGCACTCCCAAAGCTCTCTGCGGCTCAGTTTTCCTTTTCTGTAAGGTAGATATCATACCTGGCCCTGAAGCTCACCACTTTGGCTGTCCAGTAGAGAAGATTGTATTTCCATCCTCTTCTCTCACTAACTGACAACCCAAGAAAATCAGATCTAGTCCTCCATCTAGACATGCAAGCAGGTGTCTCTCTTTGTATCTCTATTTCATTGCCTTTGATTATGTGGTTCCTTCTTCCTGGATTGTGTTTTCCCCCATTTCCATGTTTCTAAGTCCTACCTCTTTTGCAAGTCCTAGTTTAAATATTCTTTCTAAAATGAAACTTTCCCCAATTCCATCAAACAGAGGTAATTTCTCTCTTCTCTGTATTCCAGCCACCCTTGGGGGTGCTCGATGGCACTAACTAGTGTGCCCTTTCTTGGATAGCATTTATTTATGTGCTGCTTTTATCCTTCCTACTAGACTATAAGCTTCTTGTGAGGGAAATAAAGTCTAATCCATCACTGTATCCCTATGCAGCGCTTAGCATGACTCCTTGCGCATTGGCAGTCAATAATTTTGTGTTTAATTGAATTGAATGAGAGAAGGAAACTGAACTTTGTGCAAATCTCTAAACCTTTCTACCTGCCCAGGATCAAGGGACTCCACTTCTTTAACTGAGTCTGATGTGACCTGAAGTAATAAGGAAGACAGAGCTAATGTTATTCTCTAGTCCTACTTAAAATCTTCTATATTCTTCAGGAATCTGTTGCCTCCTGGTAGATGGATGTTCTCTGAGGTTTTATAGATTGAATACATTTTTTAAAATACTATCAAAGAAAATAGAGGTGGACCAACTTCAAACATGAAATTGCCAGGGGAAATAGCCAGACAATCTGCATTTTATTTGATTTCTAGTTAGGAAATTATTGATTTTTTTCTTCTCTTAGTTATTGCATATGGTCATCTTGCTTTTAAATTAGAAGAGTAGTCATTCCTTTCTTTGCTTATCCCCTACAAGTAAAAAAAAAGAGGTGAAAATCCAAGAGAATGAATTTGGACATCACCATGTGTATGATAAAATGGAAGCCATGAAATAAACCTAAGTTTATAAATAACGTTCACTCACCAGGACTATCAACATGTCTCATACATTGATTTTTCCCTCTATATTGTTTTAGAAATACGTAATTATCAAGTTTCCTTTACAGTGTTATTCATGCAATTAGGTGATACAGAAAACACCTTTAAATTTCCAGTTAAAACTGGACTTTGAGCTAGAGACGCACATAGGACAGTCTGGTGCTAAAGATTTGCTGTAAGTGAACCTCAAAAATATTGCCCCCAAGGATGATAATCTCACCAGCTCCCTCATCAGCTTCTTGTTCTGTGCATTGAACCCTCCTCTCATTAAATCCTTTTCTTGATAACGTTATCCTATTTGCCCATTTTGTTTCTCTCAGCAGCTACTCATAAACCCAAAGGACTTGATCTTCCTGAACATTGTCACGGCTGCAGGAATCACACTGGAATGCTTTATAGCAAAAGGAACATCTTGACTGAGATTCAGTTTGACACACATGTATCAAGCAACTGCCATGGGCTGGAAAGCCTGGGATACTCATCCACTCCTTATTTTGTTTGAATTTAGAGAGGGAATAAGACACATACCCAGCTATCATGTAGGTCAAGCTATGATTCGTATGAATAGGGTGAGGCAAAGTACCTAAGGACGAGGAAAGGAAAAACATTAACAGGTTCTGCATACCATTATCTTCTCAGGGATGATATTCAACACATTTAATAATCTGTATGGCCAAACACTGGCCAGACAGAAGGGACATCAGCCAGAGCTGGCGCAGAGTCCCAGAGAGCCAGATAGTACCCCTTATCTTGCTGAATTGTGGAAAGGTCTGAGGGCTTCTGGGCGAGGGGCGTCAGGGCTGAGGTAGCAAGAAGGCACTGATACAGGAGGTATGCATGGGGCGGGAGGATACATCTGAAGGGCAGCAGCTTTTACCAGCTGTTTTGAAAGTATTTCAGTATTTTACCCCTGATGTGACCATTCTGGTACAAAGTAGCAGAAGATCAAACACAGCCACTCTATGAGTGAAGTATTATTAAGCAGAATTTAAAAAGGAAGAAATCACATATTAGGGAGGGGATAGAGGCACAGAGCTAGTGAAAGATAGAACTGAATTTAACCTACTTCTTCTTTTGTTCTAAAGCCCGTCCTCTGTTTTAGTAACAGTTCATACTCACAGATCTAGAGGAGGATGACAAAGATGACCATGATTATGATTTACAAACGAAAAGTGCCTTTTGAGCTAAGCCTTTAAAATAACAGAAGATATTTTCTTATCATATTTCCAAGAGTAGATGGTGCCAGGTTAGTTTGTTTTGTTCCTGGTAAAAATCTTCTTGCTGTTCTTTTCCTAGTTAGCCTTCTTGTCCTTCCTTTCTTCCTGTGTCTATCACTTCCTTTGGATAGAAAGTCTTCCTATAGGGTTCAGCTGCAAGAGGACTGTGAATGAGCTTCCAGAATCTTAGAACCCATTGTATTTGTGTCTGTCATTGTGCATTTTTGTGGAAAGAGGATCTATAGTTTTCTTCAGGTTCTGAGGCCTCGGTATAACTCCATTACATTAGAGGAAACAAAATAATATTCCACAGATGGTAATTTGGGGCATTATGATGTCATGTAATGTAACATTCTGAAAATATAACGTATCCATTTGAATTTCAAAGGACTGAAAAGTGAGTACTCTCTCTTTGGCATTACTTATATGTTGTAATCAAATAAATGGCATTTCCCCTTGCACGTACCAGTGAATGCTCTTAAACGTTTGAGAAATGAGACACCACGGAACTCAGGCACCCAACCTTGGCAGACGATTCTGGCATGTTACCTGTGGCTGATGTTTAGAGATCACAGGTCACACTAACAGTTCCAGCACACCTGAGACAGTGGGGCTGGTGGTCTAGTGCAGTGGTTAAGTTCAAGCTCAGATCCAACCACTGGAATCCAACCTTAGCTATTGATTCCTTGCTCTCTATCTTCAGACAAACTATTTCATCTCCTTGTGCCGTCATATTCTTATGTTGGAAATGAGACTACTGATAGCACCTGTTTTTCACAGTTGCTATTGGAGAGGAAGAGGTTGATGGAAGGTGGGACTACAAAGGCTCATGGCAGCTGAACTCTTGCATGAAGGCCAGAGTACCAGAAGATCAGAGGACCTAATGTCCCTACTAAATCTACTCCTTTCAGCACACACTTTGTCTTGCTTCCCAGTCTCTGACATCATTTTTGTGCCAGGGCCCTCTATTCCTGTTTTCTTGTCTTCTTACATGGCTTCCCCTGTCCCATTAATGGAGTGGAAACAGGCATAGGGAATAAAAACTACAATATGATTCTGGAGGCTTGTCCTGTTTTATTGTAGCAAATAAAAATATCCCAAGACTCCACAATTACTCATCCAATCCAGTAAAACTAAAACCAAAGGAAAGTAAAACCTCTATGTTATGCTTTACCTGGCAAAGCTCATATTCTAGTTCCCAAATTTGTTTCTAAAGTGAAACTTCTACTTCTGGCCATGTCAGTAAAACTGTTAATCAGTGAACATTGCTTGAGAGCTCAATATACATAAAGCATAGAAGGGGAGAAAAAGCAATTGCATTTGTAAGAAAATAAATACACATGATGCAAAGAGTAGCAAGGATTCTATATCATCATCCAAGCCTATTTAACTGAAATTGTGTCTACCTTTTTCTGTGTTTAGAGTTTTTTGAAAGATGAATGGACATTGCAGCCCAGTTTGAGAAAGTCATGGCAAAATCAGTTAAGAAACATCACTTTAGCACTTCTGAACCTTCTCTTCCAGCAACTTTAGTCTTCAACAGCATCTCCTTTAATATTGATGGTTCCATCCAGTATAAAGAAAAGCCGTATTTCTCTGCCTCCGAAGCCCTAGATGCTTACATTGATGATTTCTATTTAAGTTGTAAGCCACCTGATATTAATGATACAAAGGTTAACTTGGATCAGAGCCCTCTTGAATTTCTTGCTAAACTAAACAGTGGTAAGCTTTCATTATTCTCTGAGTTCAGTTTTCAATTATCTATAGAAAGCCTATGCTTTGAGAAGATCTATGATCGAAAAGACTTTTTTTCTTGGAAAATAATTATCTTACACTTTGTGAATCTTTTTATAAGATTGCTATATAATTTTAAGTTTCCAAAACTTTTCAGCAATGGCTCCCTTCGAATTGAGAGTTATAGAAAACACACCCGAGCCTGATTTCAGAGTGCAAAAGCTCTGGCCTTAGCTAGAAAGCCTTGTGCTCTATGACTAAAGGTGTTACAAAGTCACTTAAATTCTCCAAAATGGGAATAACAGTAGTAACACCTCACAGGGTTATTGTGGGAACTAAATGTACATGAAATGCTCTTAAATCATCATGACTATATTAGGGTCCTCAGTTTCTCTCTCTAGCGCAATGAACACTATAATGGAAATAAGTGACTTGAGGTCTGGCTCCCATTCTGCTAATGAGCTGAGATATGAGAAGTCATTTCCTCTCCCTGGGCTTCAGTTTCTTTCTCAATAAGATCAGGAGACTGAAATTTATGAGCTCTGTAATTTTAAAATTCTGCATTATGTAGATTACAGAAAAACAAAATTATTCAACTCCAGTATTTCTCATTTAAAAAGTCTTATTTGTAGAAGGCAGAAAAAAAAAAAAATACCACCAGGAAAGCAAAACCAGGTATGAATCTGCATTTGTGACTGACCGTGAAAACCTTGGGGATATCACCTCCTCTGATAGTAACTTCTCTTATCTGTATAAGTAGGAATAATAATAATATTGATACTAATAATAAGAATGCCTGTTTCTTCACTAAACATGGGAAGCCATACATTACAAAAGTAAGGTGTCATGTAGTATTATTGATTTTGAATTATTATGAAAACAACATTCACCGTAATAATACGTGCTAGGCTTGATAAGCAAAGTTAGAGTATATCAAACAGCTTTTTATTTTTTCATAAGTGAAAAAATATAAAGTGGCATGAGAATTCATGTAACTGTGGCATGCCCTACACTAGAGAAAACAACGTTTCTTTTTTTTTTTTAATATTTTTATTTGTTAGAGAGAGAGCAAGAGAGGGAATGGGGGGCGGTGGCGCAGAGGGAGAGGGAGAAGCAGACTCCCCGCTGAGCAGGGAGCCTAATGTGGGACTTGATCCCAGGTCTCTGAGATCATGACCTGAGCTGAAGGCAGACGTTTAACTGAGCTACCCAGGCACCTGAAAACTTTAATTCTTTAACCCAAGTTGTGTTATAAATATTTGACATGGTTTGATCAATAGGCAAGCATGATAGTGGGGACTGAGTGTGAAAGTGTGGTTCAGCTGTCTAGATTTTCCATGCAATCGAACTGTAAAATATATTGTAATTTAGTCAGTAAGACTGTTGGCTTTTCTGACAAGGGTTTTCATCTTTTTTCATTATTATTATGTTCAGTTAACCACTGTATAGTACATAATTAGTTTTTGATGTGTTCAATGATTCATTAGTTAAGTATAACAACCAGTGCCCATCACAACACGTGCCCTCCTCAATACCCATCACCTTGTTAGCCCCTCCCCATATCCTCTCCTCTCTAAAATCCTCAGTTTCCCGGGGTCCAGAGTCTTTCATGGTTCGTCTCCCTCTCTGGTTTCTCCCCCTTTGGACTTCCCTCCCTTCCGTATGGTCCTGCATGCTATTGCTTATGTGCCACATATGAGTGAAACCATATGGTAATTGTCTTTCTCTGCTTGACTTATGTCACTTAGCATAATTCCCTCTAGTTTCATCCACATGGGTGCAAAATTGGGTATTCATCCTTTCTGATGTCTGAGTAATATTCCATTATGTATATGGACCACATCATCTTTATCCCTTCATCTGTTGAAGGGCATCTCAACTCCTTCCACAGTTTGACTATTGTGGACATTCCTGCTGTGAACATTGGAGTGCAGGTGCCCCTTCTTTTCATGACATCTCTACCTTTGGGGTAAATATCATTTTTTGAAGGTTTGTTGTAGAAAGTCTTCCTATGTCCAGTTTTTCTCTTGGATCTAAAGGAGACACTGGACAGCAGGCCCTTGTTAATGGCTTGGAATATGACGCAGGCACATGCTCTTTCCTGCCTCCTCTTGAGTTAACTCTGCCATCAACAATATTCTTGACACGTCTTTGTAAAGGGAAATAGAGGGCTTTTTTTCTGATTATAAAAGTAGTTCTGGCAATAAATTTTCAGAAAACACAGGAGAAAACAGAAATCAATTCTAATCTCAATGGAGAAAACTGTCGACAGTTCTATATAAACTTCCCTCTTTTTTTTTCAGTGCAAATACCTACGATGGAATCATACTATCCATTCTGTTCTATAATTTGTTTATTCACTTATCAATAGGCTGCGAATATTTTTCATGTCATTAAAATCGTTCCGTATCTTTACATTAAATGGTTCTACAGTACTTCATTGTTTCAGGACATTTTAGTTGCCACTAATATCTATTCAAAATGTTGATGAACCATGAGAGACTATGGACTCCAGGAATCAAACTGAGAGTTTTAGGGGGATGGGGAGATGGGGGGATGGGTGAGCCCAGTGATGGGTATTAAGGAGGGCACATATTACATGGAGCACTGGATGTTATACACAAAAAAATGAATCCTGGAACACTACATCAAAAACTAACATATGGTGACTAACATAACATAATTTTTAAAAATTATTAAAAAATAAATTTAAAAAATTGTTGCAATTGCCACCATTGTACATACATGTTTAGGTAGCTGTCCAGTTATTTCCTTAGGATAAATTTCTAGGCATGGGGTTTCTAGATCAAACAACATGCACATTTTTAAGAGTTTGATTTATATTACTAAACTGTCTTCCAGAAAGGACATACCAATTTGATATTCTCTCCAAGGGAGTGGGAGTGCCCTTATTCTTTTCTATAATCTCACTGTCCAGGACTATTATCTTTTTACATTCTTGCCAGTCTGCTGGGTAAAAATTGGTATCCCTGTTTACTGAGCCTTTGCTCTTCTCCTTTTGTGAACTGCCTAGCATTGGTTTTTACCTGTTTTTGTTTAGTACATTTAAATCTTTACTTCCTCTAGAATTTATTTTGTTGTTAGGTACAGTTAAAGCTCAATTAGTTTTTTAAACAATTCCACTTGCCACTTTGTCATGACCTAAATTCCCATATATTTTTTTTTAATATTTTATTTATTTATTTGACAGACAGAGATCACAAGTAGGCAGAGAGGCAGACAGAGAGAGAGGGAAGCAGGCTCCCTGCTGAGCAGAGAGCCCGATGCGGGGCTTGATCCCAGAACCCTGGGATCATGACCTGAGCTGAAAGCAGAGGCTTAACCCACTAAGCCACCCAGGTGCCCCTCCCATATATTTCTTGAATCTTTGTTCCAACCACCTGTCTGCTCCATGTCTGCACTATTATCACTCTATTTTAATGACAGTAGTTTTACAGTGAATTTAATGTCTTGGCTAGGACAGAGGATGGAGAGCTTAGGAGTCACGTCTATTCTCACTCGTTTATTCTTCCAAACGGGCTTTAAAATTACTCTAAACAATCTCCAAATGTTGGTCTTTGGATTACTTAAATTCCTAACTGCCCTCCTGGGCCCTGCGTGGTCCCCTCCAGCCTGTCATCCCCCCTGCAGAAGAAGGATCTTCAGGAAGTACAGATCTACTTCTGTCATTTGTGCGCTGCAGGTTCTATAATTGCCCTCCCCCCCACTAGACTAAAAAGAAAGCTTAAAGTCCCTAATATGTTCTCAGGGCTAGTGGTGATCTGGATCCTATTTACCAACCTAGCCTGTTTCTCTTCTCGGTTGCTACTGCGCACGTGCACACACCTCCCAGTGGGGTCCTTGTTCCGGCTGTCTGGAGCTGCTTCCAGCCCAGGGAGTGTACATGTTGCCTCTCTACTTTTTGTATGTTGGTCCGTCAGTCTGGAGTTCTCTCCTCCCCACCCCCCTTTTCTCTGGTTGGCCTCAGTTTAGATGTCACTTCCCTGCCTCTTCTCACAAAGTCCAGTTTGGTTGCTCCCACTGTGCCTTCCCTTCCCACCTGTAAAGTCCCCTAGGATGCCATGTAACATTGCATTGTAAGAATCTGCTCACCAGTTTGTCCTCCCACTGGACTGACAGGGCCACCTGAGTCTCTGTCTTATTTACTATTGTAATTACCCTTGTAACTCGGCACTGAGGGACACAGTCCATTCGTATCGAAGAAGGAAGTGGCAAAGGAAGCAATATGGTCATGTTGTGTGTGTCTCTGACTCTTGTTGTTCTCATTCTAGGCTTCTCATTCCATTGGCAGCATGATTGTTATGGAAACTATTGCCTTCCTCTCCATCTTTTTAAAAATCGTTAATCTAGTGTATGATTTGTTCACTTAGAGGGGTGATACTTAGTTCCCTTTCTCACTGGACCAACATGAGCGTGTTCTACATAATGCCAGGGCTGATAACACCAAGACCTTTACAGGATACATCCCCAAAGAGAAAGAGATGACCCATAATGTCACCACCACCCTTGAGGATCCTTTCACTTCTTCACCAGATTCTCAACTGATGATTTCTTTGGGTCGACTTCTCAGAGACCCATGCCCATACTTCTTCACTTGATTGGACACTTTTTAGGCTCATCGCTCAGACTCAACCCAGATGCTACACCATTTTTGCAGAGCCCACAGCAGCTGTTGTGGTATCACGTGCGTGGAGCTTCGCACTCACCACGGGTGGCTGCCTGTGTCTGTTTCTGTGAGTTCTGTGAGGCACCAGCACTGGCTCTCGTTATTCCTGTTTCCGCAGAGCCTGGCATGGTTAAAGGAACTGAGCTAGACTGAAAAATAACCCTCAAGAATGACTACCTCGATGTGTCTAATAAAGCTATATTTAATCTAAGATGAGGGGGGAAATGTGAGTCTACCCACTGTGTGCTCCCACACGCAGCCCCCTCTGGCATATCTTAGGCATTGAGCTCAAATTTGGAGG